TTACAGGCTTTCTCAGGTGGATTAGCATTTTGTGCATAAGTTGGTGCTTGTAGGTAGGTGATGATTTATTGAGGCTTTTAAGAGTCATTATTGCATCTGTTAATTGGAGAAAAGAACTATTGTGATGCCAAGAAGCTTCTATGTCCTCAGGGTAAACTCCTTCTGAGCTGGATATCTGCTCTTCCTCATAGATTCTAAAGAGGCTGATAGGAGGGCTACCTATAAAAGTACAAAATAGGCTTTCTTCATTGTGTTACAATAATGTACATGTGCTTTTAATTTCAACAGCATACCTCTAAATCTATTATTTTATCATAATGGTAATAAAGCTATAAGAATACCTAATTAGAAGAAATCTTTCAAATTTCTTTCTAATCTTTGTGGAGGAGAGGAGTCCCCTTAGTTTGGTTGATTGATTGATTTTTGGTTACAAAAGTGCCTTCTTGCTCGATGAAACCACACCGATATTTAATAGTTTCTCCAAACTCTGCCAGCTGATGAATGAGTTTTCACTCAAAAACATCTTGACAATGTTTTCTTCAGGACAGTTGTAAATGTGCTGTCATGCCAGGTATTTGACTGACTGGGTTTTGGTGTTCCAGTCTTAACTCAGTCATTGCATTATTAAATGTGGAATTCATCACTGTTGGCAGCAGCGCACGAAGAAGATTACATCTTTCTTCTCCTTTAACTGGAAGGGGGTAGTGTCAGTACCTTGATAGTCAGAAAGGCAGGAGCAAAAGGTAAGCTTTGCTTAGATTGCAGTTGTGCTTATGAGTTTATATTGTGTAGTTGGTAGGCGAGTGCTGTTTTGCTCTGAATAGTTGATCCTTGGATCAGGATCTGTGCAAGAGAACAGACGGATAGCAAAATGCTGTCTCACATCCAAAGTTTTACTCTTCATACTTACGTATTCTTCAGATAAACTATTAATATAATGTTTATTGTATTCATTCTCTCATAGAGCTTATGATATCAAGGAATTGACATTTTGCTTATTTTACACATTTGACGTGGTCATGGTATGAAGATCCCGATGCCACAGTGAATCTGACAACGTTTGTCTTATTGGCCACTGTACTTTTGGTTGGGATGGTTTAGCTGTTGGAAGTCTAGGCTGTGAACAAACATGGGTTTAAAGAAAAATGGAGAGGAGCAATGTTCTCTTTTAGAAAGATTAGCTCTTGTTAATGATGCAGCTGCATACACAGTCATGCTGATGCAACAAGGAGATGCTGCTGCCAGAAGCTTTGCACCAGGAAGCTGCAGCCTAAGTCAGATTCTCAGGATTGTACAGGAAATATGTCTCAGAGCAAGAAATGAATCAATCAAATGAATCAAAGAAATGAAGTCTTCGTTAGACTACAAACTACATTGTCCTTGGGTCTTATCTTCAACTAGGTAATTTCATATTCACGTGTCGTAGTTTTTATTCAGATTTACTGCTTCACCAATGGGCACTTTCGTTGTCCCATGTGTGTGTCAGACCCTTTCCCCTTTGGGAAAGAGGCTAGGTGGGAAGGCTTTGATTACCCCAGCAGGGCACCGCTACTATTCTGAGAACACAAACATGCATTTTACTCCCTAGATTTCTTCCTGAGTGCTGCTGTTATGTATAACCTCCAGGGCTGGATTGGTCTGTGAAGCCTTTGTATTATTTTCTTCTTTTTTTCCAAGCCCCTAAGTAAAACTGTAGCCTAAATTTGATCTCTTTGCTTGTCTTTAATGCTTGTGAACACCTCTGAGAATTTCTAGAAGGTATTTGTTTTGACAGAGTCAAGTACAAACACAGAAATATGGTATAAAAAGACCTTCTGAAACCTCTGTTTGATCCAACACTGATTGTCATTCTTGGCTGTTCTGCAAGGCAGCAGAAATCCTAAGTTTTCTGCTCTGGTTTTAATCCTAAATCATTTTTAGTAACACTAAATATACAACTATTTAGCTCTATCTTGTTTTTAAGCATCTTTATTCCTATTAAAGTAAGTTGAAGTTGTTTCCTGGACACAAAACTAAAATCCATTGAGTGTTTTGTTAATTGGAGGAGTCACATTGACATATGGAACTTGCTGAGGTAATTTTAATGGATTCCATTAATGTCTTAATGGAAATTATACCTCCTCATGCATAAAAAGGCTCAAGCCTAAAACATCAGTATTATTTGAGGATGCATGGAACAGAGAACGAGTTTGGGAAAACTGAGTGAAATTATATATTGATGAAATTCCAACAGATTATTCTGGTCAAAGGAAGAAGTACCAGTTTGCTGCTCTTTTCCATCCAAGAGATTTAACTTACAAATTAAGTAACACTTATTAGCAAGGAAGAGTAATGTGGAGTATAACTTTAATTGACATTTTTATTTAGGTTTATTGATTTGAGATTTCATTAAAATTATTATGCATATGAATTACAACACATAACTTTATGATATTGATTACCTATAATCTTTGATGTATGTTAACTATGGAATTTAAGTTGACTAAGAGATTATTGGAAAATACATAATTAATCTTGATTTCAACCACTTTATTCAGAAAGTTGTGCAATTCAGCTGTTTTGGTTACTTTTCTCCACGTTTTATTTTGCTATGAGAATGATTAGAAAGCGATGACAACTTTAATTGTGCTACTGTTGAGCACGATGATTCACCATCTCTTCATAACATTATAACTGGCAAATGCCTACTGAATCCAGAACAGCACTAATCAATGAATTCCAATGTGTGTATTGCTGGGTGTGCATGTTCAAGGTTGTGAAATGTAGAGGTAGCTTCTAGACAGACAGATTCTTATCTGGAGTCCATCTATTTCACTTGGAAGCAAAAGGTCTCAACAGAAGTCAGAAACCGAAGTACTTTCTCCTGTTAGAAACAAATAGAAGAACTTTTTTTCTGGTACTACTTCCACCATTTGAGGCTTAGTTTATTTTTTCCCTTAGCAAACTCCTCCGCCTTCAAACCAGGGAAGTTAACAAATACATCATTATGGCTAAAAACAGGAAGAAAAATTTTGTAATTTTTTTTTTTTAACCATCTGAATTACAGTGTCACAGCACTATTTTGAAACTTGCTGAGTGGCGTGTTTTGCTAAGAGCAAATATTTAAATTATAGACCAGAATCTGTTGCCTTATTATCATAACCTAATAGATGGGTCAGTATGTTATTATTTTTATTATGGCCATTGGAGAGAAGAGGGAAAGAAATGCTTTGACTATTAGAAATCCACATCCACATGGAATGAGAAGTAACTACTTCATTCACTCTATTGGAAACAGAGCAAGAAAGGCAAAAGGAAAATACAGTAAAGTTAGCAATTAGTACATTAGATTTATATTCTCTGTTATCTTTACAAGGCTCCCTGTTAAAAAGCAGCACAGGTCACTCTAGTGAGTGCCAGTTCTTGAAGGTGGAGAGAGACAAAACCCTTGAAGCAAAAAATAGGAAGAGTAAGATGGATGCTTCCCTTTTTGCTGCCCTTCCAACCGCGGATACAGTTGAAGGCAAAAATACGTGTTTAATAGAATTGAGAGCATAGAAGGGAGGATGTAATTATTTGTGTGAAATATAGCTGTGCATTTATGTATTTTAGAAAATTTCTGCATAGTGTGTAGCATTACAAGAATTATTTTATTAAATATATTTTTTTCTGCCTGGCCAGACATTTCTGATTGATCTATTTCTGTACTCCTTTTGTAAAGATAAAGAAATACAACTGATCTGTCATTACAGATGGAAAAAATGAAATTATGTTTACATTTCTCATTGCAGTAGTGAGAGGGCCATTTTGACACTACGTCTGCTGTATGTATATGTGTGTATGCATATAGTGGCAATATCATAATGACATAAACTAGTGTAGATCTTATCCCATTTCCCTGCTGCACAACACTGACCACAAAGCATATTAGCTGATGCACTGGCCTCTCTGGACAGCCTTTCCCAAAGCTTGAATGTGCTTATAGTGATATGTTCCCCAAATCTTACATGCACCACACTTGAATGCAGTGATACATATTATGCACTTAGCTTGCTGATTTCTTGTCCTTCCTGTCCTCTAATCAGATTCCAGTCCTTACTCTTATGTGGTCCAGAAAATTGCCTTAGTGCAGTGCTGTGGACTTGGTGTCTGTAGTGATGTCTGTGTATGTAAAAACCTAAAGATGGTGTTGCAGAACTTCCTGCCTAGATTTCCCTTCTTGCTTTTTTTAAGTCTTTTGAAAATACAAATCAGTGCAGAATTTTTAAGCAGACTGTAGTGAGAATAAAATGAGAAGTCTCACTTTGTTTTAACTGCCTTCTACTGATAGCCCCGAACCAGCAAGTGCAAGTTTTGGAGTCAGTTTTGTGCTGCAGGAAAGTACAGTGGTTTTTTTCAGTGCTGAGTTTCAGTGTCTAAATTTTTTTTTAAAATCCTTGGGAATACCTTTTTATTTTTCTTAAGTAAAAGTCTTCTGCGTAGCTAGAAATACAATTTTTAGCACAATACATAACAACACTGCTGCTTTTTTGTTTGTTTATAGATGAGAACATGAATATTCGCTATCTTCGTAGTGGGGATGTTCAAATTTTACATTGAAAACTGGGAACAAAAGGACTGTGGCTAAATTTTATAGGAAAGGCAACGTGTGAAATGTGTTTCTCCAGATTTCTATAAGGTTGCAGTAATTGCCCATAATGGGGCCATATTTGCAAATCATTCTGTTTCAAAAATCTTGTCCATCACGTAGTGAATTTCTTCAAAGAACAGGTATATGAACATGCTATCTTTAAGGCAAGGAATGTAAGAAATGGGAAAGCTGTCTGGTGGAAAGTTGTTTACACTTAGGGCCGGAGAATAATTAGGCACTTTTTGACTCTTGTCATTTGTCTTTTTGTGCACTGGAAACAAACTAGCTACGTATAAACTTTCCCAGCTATGTAACGTCTGAAGTACAACACTTCATCAAAGCAGATCCATTAAACCTCTGACTGGTACTCTTCTCTTGGCTTTGATTGCAGCACCACACAGAAGCACCTAGCCCACCATCGCTGCCCCCATCAGCTTTGCCATTAGATGTATTAAACAATGCTGTTGCTGGATTCAGTACTGTGGAAGAACTTATCCGGTACCTTGAACCAGATCGGTGGCAGCTGGATTTGGAAGACTTGTACAGGCCAACGTGGCAACTTCTTGGGAAGGCATATATTCATGGGAGAAAATCAAGAGGTAAATCACTCTTTTATTTGGCCTTGCAGCTTTCTACAGGTGTGTTTTCGTGGCAGTAAAAAGTAATTAAGAGTATTCATCACCTTGATTCCAAGAGAAGAATTGGAGATAATTGTTATTAGCTATCTTCACAATTATATTTTCTAGAAAAGAACAATAGCTGAAGTCAGAAATTAAAGGAATTTAGCAGTATAAACTAACAAAGGAAAAAGTACTTGAAGCAGGTAAGGTACCTTACTCTAGGGAACTGGGAGCTCCTCATTTTCACAGAGTGGCAGGGTATCCTGGCTGAGTCACATAACCTAACTCTCTGGATTTCTTTTTTTTATAAAGGGCAAAAACTTTCTGTTTTTTATAGATACATACATATAGATACATACCTGTATCACAGGTTTGCTTCCTTAGATTGTGCCAGCATCTACACCATGTGAACTCGGTGCAGTTAGCTAAATGTCTCTTCCATAATACCTCATGAAATTCCTAAGTCCATGTCCAGTTTAAACATGGAGTTTTCAACTGCATTAATCAGATGTAAAATGGGCTATGTATATGTGGAGCTGTTTCTCATTCAGCAAGTTATTTTCTTCCATCCAAATCTGGCCTTAATGAGTTTTTTCTCAACATATTGTCCAGATGCTGCCCTCGATTTCGTGTTTACGGATTCCATGTACCTAAAGGGATTCAATACCTAAAGGGAGCCTATAAACAGGAGAGGAGCCAACTCTTTACAAGGGTAGATAATGGCAGGACAAGGGGAAATGGTTTGAAGTTGAAGGAGGGAAGTTCTTACCAAGAGAGTGGTGAGGTGCTGGAACAGCTGCCCAGAGAGGCTGTGGATGCCCCGTCCATCCCTGGAGGTGTTCAAGGCCAGGTTGGATGGGGCCCTGGGCAGCCTGGGCTGGTATAAAATGGGGAGGTTGGTGGCCCTACGTGTGGCAGGGGAATTGGAGATTCATGATCCTTGAGGTCCCTTCCAACCCAAGCCGTTCTGTGATTCCACATGGAGGGATAACATAATATCTCCTTCCTTGCCCATTAACAGTATGAAAATGGTGACCTACAGGAGTAACTGAATAGAGTCCTCTGTCAGTGAATTTAAACTAGATTGTCATCTGATCAGTCAGAAAAGGGAGGAGATGGAACTTTTCATAACTCAAATTTAAGTTTTTGATGGCTGATTTTTGGATCAGAGCCTAAAAACCAACCCTTCAACCTTACCTCTATTACTACAGATTGGCACACAAAGACTAAATCAAGAGTCAAAGAGGAGGAAGTCTCTTTAAAAGCTTCCAGCAGTGAACCATGTCTTTCAGATAGTCATTTAGCACTTGCCTAATTACTTGTCTAATTAAAGAGTTTCAGTATTTGCCAAATATATGCCATAAGCATTGAGTAAGTGGGAGAAAAAAAAAAAAAGTAATTTGTGAAACCTTACATAAACTAAAATGCATGTGTTAGATAGATAACATCTATGCAGAAAAAGGTGACTCTCTGCAAGACATATCTTTGAAAGAAATGATGACAGTAAATCTTTTAAGGACTTCTAATTAGATGCTGAAATAGATTTTTTCCACTGAATAAACATGTAACAGTATTGCCACATTCATCTTAAGGAGACCACCCTCAGACTGCATTACTGAGTGTGTAATGTAATAGCTTGGAGAAGAAAATGTGTCCAGTTGAGATGACACAACATTAACTGCTAGGTCTATTCAAGAGACATGGAAAACAAACTTCTTTTTTTTTTTTTAACTTTCCATTTAGTGGAAGGTTTGCTGTATTTCAAAATCTATTTAAGAAACGTTTGGGAATGTGCATAGCGTAAATGTTTTTATTGTTTGCTTGCTTTATTCTGTAGGGGTTTTTTCCCCCTCAAACTCTCAGATTCCATAGTTAGGTAAATCTAAAATTGCTGTCCTGCTTTCGTAAGATAAAATATAAATGTAATTAAAAGTGTATGTTAGTTTGTGAAGAGTCTTTTACTCCTACTTAACAATTCATATGAAAAAACTATATGTAAACAACCTCAATTCCACAGAGCTTCTGTCTCTGATGGTTTTTTTTTTTTTCTGGATAAAATGCTTCCAAAAACTAGCCAGGAAAAAAGAAACACCGAGTTCAGAGGCTTTGATGTCTAAATATAGTCCTAAATTCCTTTATAATATTAAACATACTTAAAAATAAAATACATATTGCTGTGCAAAAAAGTGATCCCATCACTTCCCACATAAATTTTTGTATAATCATCAAGTCATATTCAGAAAGTTGCTTAAGAACAGTCATAATCCAACCATACTACTTTGTGGATACTTTTCAAATGTAAAAGTTATGAGTTTGTTTCTTTTTCTTTTTTTTTTTTTCTGTTATCCTTGTTTGCAGTTCAAAAATTGCATGGGAACCAGTTTTGTAAAAGCCCTGACCTATTATAGGAAACCACACTTCCAGGAATGCCTTAGAAACTGAAGGCTTGTAACCAGCAGTGCTTAGAAACTGAAACCATTCTGCTCCTATCTGTGCTTACACACAAGTGTCCCAACGAGAATTTAAGATGCTAGACAGTTGCAATGGCAGCTGTAGAACACAGATATTTTCAGGCAGATGTGAACACAGAGTACTTCAGATGTTTGTACTAATAAAGGTGCACTTTAGAAACAGGTTTTACTGTAGGTTTTACCTGTATCTGTGTTTTTTCTCCATTTTTTCCCCCTTTTCACTGATTTTAGTTTTATATTATCTCCCATTCACGTGCTACTACAGAACCTTCCATTCCTCCTGAGCTAGTGCTAAACAAAAGAACTTTGACTGTTGTGTCAAACATGATATATGAGTGGCAGCCAAGTTGAAAGAGTGTTTAAATGTTCACATTATAACAGGTACTGTAACTAAGTGCACTTGGGAAATCCACATAACCTTTTATTGTGGTTAAGTAAACACTTTTAAGGGAATATATACATTCTCTCATCTAGCTTCATGCCCACAGTGCGTTAAAATAAATTTTGGGCAGACAAATACTCTTTGAAAAAATAACAGCTTCATTCACACACTTCAAAGAAGTGATTATATAAGCACTAGATAAATTTGCCACAGACCTTTTAATGAAATTGAATTACATAAGGTAGGGCAAAGGTTCATGGCAAGGTATAATAGCAATATACCTTCATGCATTGTAAAGCATGGAAACCAAACATGGCATTTTTCATCTCTCCAGAACCCTGTTGTTACAGCAAAGCATACTGAAACTTTTTGGCCAAGTGCTGAATGAGTTCTTGCAGAGAATCTTTTTAAATTTTTTGAGCCTGCACGTCTGAAGGGTTCAGCTCAAATTCACTCAGATTCTGTGGTAAAATGTACAATACACTTTCTGCCCATGTTAGCACATAACTTTCTCTATCCTGTAACTTCAGCTAGGACTAGGAGATGGCTGCATTCCTTTGCTGTTGAGAGCAGGCAGGAGTTATCAGGGAAGCTGAATGCCACACAGGCATCTCTCTCCTGTGGGTCAATGGTTTTGTTGGGAAAAAAAGCATCGGTGCCCGATTTCTGTTTTCAGCTTCTGAAGGGCCATCTGGATGTGGTAGGATGCTTAAGTGCCTTCAAATTCAATGCAACAAGCCAAACTGTACCAAATTTCAGTCCTACTGGAAATCTTCCAGCATGAGCAGAACTATTTCTCTTGCATTTTAGGCATTTTATTCTCATTTTGACAATTCAGTTCTTGTGTGTTTGAAAGTGTAACACGGGCAAGAAGTATTAGATTCCTTTCCACAGTCCTCGATTAATGCAGGTAGACATGTCCACCCTCTGAATGACTCAGCCTGCAGCTATAAGCTGATCAGAAGACCTTAAATAATTTTTAATTCCTTGCAGCAAATCTCTCCCCACTAACTTTTGTCTCCATTCCTCTGCTCCCTTCTCAGCATTCTCCAAGGAATGTGCTTACAGTGTGGGAGGCAGGCTGGCATCCCGTCAGTAACTTTATTGGAGTTATTACACACTCCTGACTTTTAAAATCAGGTTGTTTATTTGGACCCTATGTTAACCTGATAGTAAAGGAATGAAGTGCCCCAGCTTGGCACCCACTGTAAACGTAAGCAGAGAAAAAGCTTCAGTGTGTTTAACTGACCCTTCACAGCAGTAAGGCCTGACTTAGGGATACCAGTGTATGGACATGGTCTGCGAAGGAAATATTTTAAGAAACACAGAATGAAATTGCTGCTCAGTATCTGTTTCTGAGGGAGAACTGGTGAGCATTGCTGCTGAGGAAGTGAATCTTCTAAATTCTCTTAATTTCCTACGTTTCAGTAGAGTTGAGGGGCAATATCTTGCCTTGGTAGACAGAAGATCTTGGTGATCTCTGGAGACTCCTTATATAATAAAGAGTCTTATATAAGTTGGAAAAAAGGTATTTCTCTGTTGAACAATTCAGATCAGGAACATATTTCAGCTTTATGTTGCAGGGTTTTTTAATTTACAAACTACTAGCAGTAAATATAAAAGATTTGTGAAGTAATGTTAACACTCTGATTTTTTAACTGTACTGGGATACTTTTTACTCCTAGTTTATATTTGAGTTAGCTCAAAAGCAGTTGGCTTGAAGCTCTGTGCTGCTTTGAGTCTTCTATTACAACAGTCTCAAAAGCCATATTACCACAGGGTTTTAGTTATTTTGTTCAGAAGGATAAAATAATACTAACCAGTTGGAATATGTTTGTGAACTGAATGCTGCTGATATTCCTTAATGCTGGTAGGTTTGGAGAGAAGCAGCGTAGACAAAATATCCCAGAACATGATAATTACAGTCTGGCTTTTCTGAAAGAAATGAAATTAAATGGCTTTTCACCAAAGCAAAGAAAATGTATTAATTTTTTTTTTTTCCCCTCTAAATCAGTCCTTGTTCTCCAGACTTAATTGCCTCTATTATTTCTTGGCTGGGCAGCTGAGGGGAACCTGAAGCAGTGTGCCCTGTGTCTGATCTTTTTGTGAGATAGCTGTTTAACCATTGGCATAGTAAAGCTTTACTGTGATACAGTGGAACCAGATTATAGGAAAACAGGTGCCCTGCGTGAATAAATTTAACTTGCTCTTCAAGGTGGATGCCTGGAAAGAGTAACTATATTTAAAGGCACATCAAGTGAAAATGAGATTTAGGGAATCAGTAGAGATTTGTGATCCTCCTTGTTGAGGAAAGGCTGAGGGAGCTGAGTCTCTTCAGCTTGGAAGAGATTGAGGGATGACTCCATTAATGTTTATAAATATGTGAAGGGTGAGTGCCAGGAGGATGGGGCCAGGCTCTTCTCAGTGACACCCAATAATAGGACAAGGGGCAATGCGTACAAGCTGGAACATAAGAGGTTCCACATAAATAAGAGAAAAAACTTCTTCACAGTAAAGATAACAGAACACTGGAAAAGGCTGCCCAGAGAGGTTGTGTGATCTCCTCCTCTGGAGGCATCCAAAATCCACCTGGATGCATTCCTATGTGACCTGATCTAGGTGTGCATGCTCCGGCAGGGGACTGGAATAGATGATCTTTTGAGGTCCCTTCCAATCCCTGACATTCTGAGGTTCTGTGATTCATATTTAAATTGCTATGGAGGAAGAGGGGACCTCTGAAAAATGGAATATACTGCAATTAGCCTTAATTGCTGTGAGCATCTTTCCAACCCGCTATTAATACAGGACAGCAACACTCAAACTCAGCGTGAGCAAAGGGAACTCCATCAGGATTGAATTGGAACAGAGCAGCCAAGGCTTGCTTTGTCTAATTTGAACTAACACCTCCAGAGTTACAAAACAATTGGTGAGGGCTAAACAAAGATCTTTCCATTTGTCTCTTTGCAGTGGTTGATCTCAACTTGCTAAAGGAGGAAGTGCGGCTGTACAGTTGCACCCCTCGCAACTTCTCAGTGTCACTGAGGGAGGAGCTGAAGAGAACTGACACCATTTTCTGGCCACTGTGTCTTCTGGTTAAGCGTTGTGGTGGAAACTGTGCCTGTTGTCATCAGAACTGCAATGAGTGCCAATGTATACCAACAAAAGTCACCAAAAAATACCACGAGGTAAGCACTTTTCTACATTTTCGTGTATGGAAGCCAGTGTAAGAACTTCTTTTTACTATAGGAATTTTTTTTTAATATTGCACGTAGTGCACTCACAATAAATATATATATTTAAACCATTTTTAACAATATATCAAATTTTAAAAAAATAATAACACATTCCTTGTTAAAATGCTTTTCTGTGAAACCGTTGAGTCACTTCTGAAGCCCTTGTTTACTAGTGCAGTTTGGGCACATGACATCCATACGTCCTTGTTCAGCTTTCTTCAGTTGTAGATACATACTCCATAGAAGAAGATATAAATATCTGTCCCATTTTCATTGTGATAAATTTATAACTAACAGTATTTATTGTAGAACTACCTGATAAATAAACTGATTTAACTATATGTTTTAATAACTTTTGTGAAGGGTTTGGTGTAAAAGCCAAAGTAAAAATTAGTGAGTGGAATAAATGAAGAAATTCAGCTGAGAAAAGCCTATTTCTTTTAATGGTTTTCCTGCCATCCAGTGTGTTTCCAGTGCAGTCTAACTCATAGCCTAGGTGTGCGATGAAGTACTTGCTGTTCTGTTGATGCTTGACTTCTTCTCCTTCAGGTTCTTCAGCTGAAGCCAAGGAGTGGTGTCCGCGGACTGCATAAATCGCTGACAGATGTGCCCTTGGAACACCACGAGGAGTGTGACTGTGTATGCAAAGGGAATACTGAAGGATAAACATGATTTAATTGTGCTGTTTTCTTTGAAGCACGTTCAATCCTTGCTGATTCTATTATGGGGCTTGTGCATTATCTCCTTCTGTAATCTCAGTTGTTTGCTTTGGGGAACTTCCATCTTCAAGATTTACAGTGAGCTCTAAAAAGAGGAGAAGCAAAACTGGGATTATGTGATGTATGACAGCTCTGTTTGGAGGCCCAGTGAAAGGATGGGAGAAAGGCATCAATGAGAGATGTAAAATACATGTGTTTTTTTTTTTGTCCCCTACAGTTTTCTTGACAATACATGGATTTATAATTTAGGAGTAAAAATAAAGTTAGAAGGCTCACATCATGGAGACTGGATCCTGCTGGCTGTTTCATTTCTACAGCTCCAGAACATCTGGCCTCTGGCTGAAAACATCTGAAATCTTCCTTTCTGTGTTCAACTACTCCTATGTACTCAAAGCATTCTCTGTTTTATAAATTTGGTTTATACCAGACTGCCTTGTTCTGAATTAAACTTAATTTGTCTAACGCTGGTAGGAAAGACTGGATTTTTCCATGTGCTCTAGTAAAGCTCCTGCCTTTTAGAAAGAAGACTGGACAGTAACGTGAGCTAAGGAAGAAAACGTTGAAAAGAACAATGCATTTATTCTTAATACTATGGCCGATGATTTTTTGTTTGTTTGTTATTTTTATTGTGTACATTTTTATACTCTCCTTTTGACAATATAACTATTTGCTTTTCTAAACTTGTTAAATATATCTATTTTTACCAAAGGTATTTAATATTCTTTTTTATTACAATCTAGATCAACTATTTTTTAGTTTTATGAAACTTTAAAGACGGATTTGTACAGCTGGAGGAACATAGAAGAGATTACAATGGGATAGGAGCACTATATTTTTACTTTGTTGCTACACAGTGAAAAAGTACTTTTTTTTTTTTTTTTAAACCTGCAAGCACAGTAATAATAAAAAGCTAATAAAAAGCTCAAAGCTTTGCTAGCTCCATGATACCGAATATACAAGAGATGGACATTACTATAAGTGGTTTCACAAGCTGATGTTAAAAATTCCCTCTCTCCATTCTAGCCTTTGTTCCAGTAGAAAAGAGATGAGCATAGATAGATGCATCGTGGCTTGTTTAACTCTTCAGTTTCTTTAAAGTAGGGTGATCTACAGTGAGTTCAGAGGCTTACAGCCTTCATGATGCATCATTGTCATGGGAAGGCAGCCTTGTTAATGTTGAAGTGTATGGTTTTCCACTGACATTTATCGCTGTTTAAATCCTGTTCACTCATGGGATTGTAGCATTCTTCAGTACAGCTAGATCAACTATGGTTTTGTTTCTTCTGTACTTTATATCCTCTAACCAATACACTTATCCCAACCTATTCAAATTGAAAAGAAAGCAGTAAAATATTTTGCTTGTAAAATGCTTTAACGTTATGCCTAGTTTATTTTATTTTTTTTTTTTTACTATTGGATTTGCAGATTGTAATGAATCACCAAATAAAGTAATAATGCTAATTTTGGGAGAAATGTTTGTATGACTACGTATTTGTATCTGGTCAATACATAAAAACAGAAGCAAGCAGGAAGGTTTGTACTCTACTTCTTTTGCAGGTCATCAAAAAATGAAAGCCTCCTGTTACTGAGCTTTCTGTTTGCTTAGTCGGTTCTGCTTAGCTGTAATTCTGAGACAAAAAGAAAAAAGAAGAAAGAAATGTGATTGTATTCGTATGAACATTCAGAATGTTAAAAATTGAGTGGATTTGAAACCATCAAGTTGAAATAACATTTGCCACTTTTTCTGTCATGAAAATGAGTTCTGTTGAGAACGTGGGCATTTTTCACGTTGGTGTTAATTTCTGCTATCACTTCCAGCAAATTGTCAGGTGCAATCTGATTCTCTCAGCTGTTCTGTTTTGCCCAACCCTCAGTCACCTACAGAGCAAGACATGTCAATTGTAAATGCAGTATCCGATTATCCAGTCTGAATATTAACCCATTTCCAAATGCAGAACAGTGAACGCACAAGAAACTTGCATCTCTTGAATTCTGAGTCCTCGGGAGGTTTCTTTTATTTTGTTTTTATATTAATAATGTGATTTCTTTGTGATGTCACGAGCCTCTAAAAAGTAGAGATAAAAGCAGGAATCACAGCTTTTGGTTCAGCAGAAGAATTGAGAAATGTAATTCTGTTCTGCAGGCCCACAGTGCAGCATCTGAACTCTCTTTGCAGCACCATTTCCAGAATCTCACCCAATCCAAAGCCGCCACTGCTTCTGTTTGCTATTCCTATCACTGCTGAGCACCTTCTGTCCTCAGCTCCATGTTGAAGCTGTGTCTTCTCACTTCATCTGCCTTGTCCTTGGTTTTTGACCTCCCTTTGCTGCCCCAAGCACAGATGATGCACCCTGGTGGCCTGGCGGTGTGGGCCTTCATCTGGAAAAGCAGATGGAGTGGGGAGTTGCTTACCAATGTTGAGCCTTGTTTTTATGGATTCTGCAGCTATTTACATTCCTGGAACCATTCTGTCAGCTGTTGTCAGCATGGGGATGATGGGAAGCAGCACTAAAACTACATTATCAAGGGTGTTAACTGCAGATATGTTGCTTGTAAGTTCCCTTACTCTTTCTCTGCCTGGTTGCATAGGCTAACAATTTTTCAGCAAAAAGAGAAAAAAAAAAATTGCCTCATACAGCAGAGTGCATGGAAGGAAAATAGAGAAGCACAAAGCTACCTTATTTAGCAGATACTGCATCAGCTAATGTGTGCTGCTGCTTTATTTCCTTTTTAACAGAGAACTCAGTTAAAGCATCTAAGTTTGCAATTCAAATGCTTGCTGCTCAGATGGTCTCATTTTGATTTAATTCCAATTAAAATTGGAATTAAAATTTGGAAACATTTACTTTTTGTTTTACTTCTGAAGATACTGTAGTAATGCTATGGCTCTGTCAGAAAAACCCATGCAGAGATGCCTGAAGAGTAACAACTGCAGAATTCACATTCAAACCACACTCTGATGCTAAGCAGTCCAACTTACTTTTCTGGAGCTGCTTGGAGACAACGTGATATTTAAATTAGTGTGAGTAAGTTTGCTCTTCATTATCATTTTTTGCATGGGATGCTTCATCAGACAACTTGTCTTTCAAACTCCTTTCATGCATCTTTCAAACCCAATGGCAGTGTTTTTGTTTTTCGGTTTGTCTGCCAAAAACAGTGGAAAAACATGACTACTGTTTCAGCATAAATTGGACAAAGCTGTTCAGAAAAGACACAGTTTGCCCATTGCTTCACTGAAACTCACCTAGATTGTTAAAAGAAAAGTAAGTTTGCAGCTAAGTCCCATGAGAAAGATGACAGCTTCTTTGCAAGTGTGATTCAGAGCACGTAAGCTTCTCTGAATCATGCTCTGTGTCAGTCCTTATTGAGCTCGTCTGTCTTCATTAAGTAGAGTCAGAGTCTGTCCCTCTCACTTAAGGCATCTCCGATGCATGAATTCAAGTAATGCAATCATCAGATTTACAGGCATGTTTTCTGCAAACAAAGCAACTAAAGAAAAAGCCCTTCTCTTTCTCAAAGAAGAGTCCCAAGGAGTTTTGCAGCCTGCAGTGCTTTTCCTCCTTGTTGATTTGGCAAACTTTTACATTATCTACTGAACTAAAGACAGAATTAACAGTTCGACTCAAGAAGGCCACACTGCCTTCCTCTGCAGCTCTGATGACAGGTTCCCCCCAGGTGGGTTATGGCATCTCTCCCATTCAGACTGGAGTTTGACAACTGCATCTTTCACAGTAAACTCTGCATTTCTTCCTCTGTGCATTATCCTAGCAATATAACAAGGTTAGCAATACATCACGTTTATCCATCTCACGTTTTCCTGCTTCAGTCACTGTTAATTTCGTATCCTTGTGTCATAAGTTGAGAATTTCTATCATCAAAAATAGTGAAATAAACATGTCCCTCAGGTGTTATAAGGGTGGATATCCCAAATTACTCCTTTCTTCAGGTAGACTATATATATGTTGTGACTCTACTCTTCAGTGGAGAAAAGTAGGTGATCCACCTACTGTAGATCACCTTTGTGCGTGTGTGGTTCCTTAAAGATGTTAGGCAGATTTTTGATATAGCTATGCTGAGGGGGTGCTAAGCAGAAATTGGGTGGTCTGGAAGCTTCACACAGTCGTGAAGTCATAGCAGACTTTATATTGCTGAAGGGCATGCAGAATCCAAATGTACAAAATTCCACCTCTGTTCTTTAGAAGAGATAGGCGCCATGTGGAAGGCCTCAAAAATAAGTCTGTTCTCCTGTAACCCACTCAGTCACTTCTGATGTCTGATGTTGAAGATAAGTGTTGAAAGACAAAGTATATCTGAGCTGAAAGAGCTTTTTCATCCAGAGACTTAAGCAACTAGAGCTCTGATTCATTCAGTAAGCCATAACAAGTCTCACGCAATACTATGTTGTACAGTTAAATCTCAGAGCTTAAGCACGAATTTCTGATATAGGCAGAAACAACAAGGATCAGAGGCAAAGGAAACCTGGAGGCTCTCTTACTTGTACAACAAAATCACATCATGTGGGAGTAGGGGATCTTGTGAGTGAGAGGGGATCTTTTCTCAACTGTTTTATGGCACCATCATAGAATCATCATCACGGAATCACAAGGTTGGAAAGGACCTGTAAGATCATCTTGTCCAACTGTCCTCCCACTACCACTGCTACCACAAGCCATTAAATCAAATCTTGTAGCTCCTCATCCAGACTCCTCTTGAACACTGCTGGGGACGGCGACTCCACCACCTCCCTGTGCAGCCATTGCAGTGCCTGGCTGCTCACTGAGAGAAGAAGTTCTTCCTCATGTCTAATCTAAACCTCCTCTGGAATCTGACTCTTTGGGGAACAGTTTGTATGTGTTGCTGAAGGATACGATCAGTGTATGGTCGTTGGTAACAGGCTGGCTTCTATTTAATTTTTTAAATGGTTCTGGATTATGGACAATTAGGAGTCTGTGAATAAGAAATCAAGCAAAAGCTTTGTGCTGCTGTAGATCACACGTTCATCTACTTCAGTGTTCTTGTCTCCGTTTGTTGTATTGGTTTCTGTTTATGAAAAACTATAAGTACACTTCCCAAATTCCAAGAGTTAGCAGTTTGGAACTTCTTTAGTTAGAGCTGGAATTACAGCTCTTGATAAACTCACCAGCGGCTGTAAAACACAGGACATTTAAAGAATGGCAACGTCTTCTGCATGGAGTGATCAGAGAAAGATGAAATTCAGCGTATGTTCTGCGTAAGGGAGATGGTTATCATCAGTGTAGTAAGCCTGGTTTCCTTTGCCACACATTGAAGTTAATGTGTTCAAAAGGGGGAGATCAGATAATTCACAAGCAGATGGCAGTGGGCACAAACTGGAACATGACGTTTTCTCTGCACACCAGGCAGCACTTATGCACCATGTAAGTGACAAAGCCCTGGCACAGGCTGCCCAAAGAGGCTGTGGAGTCCCTTCTTCCTTGGAGATCTCCCAAAACTGCCTGGACATGGGCCTGGGCAGCTGCTATGGGTGGCCCTGCTGCAGCTGGGACTGGACTTGATGGACATGGCAGCCCCTGCCAGCCTCAGCCATCCTGGGGTTCTGCATTTCTGTACCACACTATTGGATGAAAGCCTAACCATGCTTTTACACGAGGAGTCCTATCACACACATAGAATCAATAAGCCTGTTCATGCCTAAATAAAGCAAATAAGAATCAATCCTCTTGCTCAGCACATATCTTCTCAATTCTGGGAACCACTGAACTGAGTAATGTTAATTCCATTATATTCATTAAAAAATCAAAAACAAAGCTAAGAAAGAGCATGTAGTCTCTCATCTAATTAGAAATTAATGAAAAAGACAGCCCAACAGTGGGTTCCCTGCATTCTCTTCAACTGTTTTGTTCATAGCATAATGACTAGGTTTTGATCCTTTTTGATGAAGGAAATAATGAAAGCTCTTGTTTCAGTGCAGCACCTGGTCATGACCAAGTAAAGCCTAGTAAAACAGGATGATCATTCTGGGAGCTGGGTAAAGTTACAGGAGAGAAGTTACTGCCTTATTTTCTTGTCAGGTTAGCATCTCCTTCTTCAGTCTTCAGGACACATGCTATTTTTTTTCTATCACACTATTTTTTTTCTATCTTCTTATTGAGTGCATAGTTATAGGCTTATGGCTCCCTATATAACATATTTCATCATGTAAACTTATTTGCTACGTTTCATGTATTTTGAGCAGAAAATTTTTTGTGCAGCAATTTTTCAAAAGTGGTTACAGTTCTGTATTTTCCACCAGTGTCTTAAATCTTATGAAAACAATAGAAATTTTACCATGGTAGAGACAGCAGATGACAGCCAGTAGCCTATCTATCCCTTTTAACCCAGTGCTCAACAGAATTTTGTTGATGTACAGAGAATTCAGTGTTGACTTTCCAGATGGCTAATATCTATTTTAAGGTCATGCTCAATCTCTTCTTCTAGTTTTAT